ATGAATCAAAATATATTTTACTATTTCCTCTCTGTCTTAAAATATATTTTTTATTTTTATTTATCTTAAATTCATATCCAACCACGAACATTGAAACATTTGATTTGTATTAATACTTAACTTTCTAAATCAAACTATCTATCTATACATACATACATACATACATACATACATACATATATACATACATACATATATATATATATATACATACATATATATATATATATATATATATACATATTGTTTCAAATGCAACTCATCACGTTTGTACAATCAATGCAACCCAATAAATTAAAATATTTATAGAAATGATGAAAGTTCATTTATTATGATTTAAATATTTATGAAAGATAAATAAGTTTCATTAATTATAATCAATACTTTATATTAGAAAACAATTAAAATTTTTATGAAATTCAATATTCATCAAATTAAATGGACGGTTGAAATTGAGTTATATTAATTGTACAAATGTAAATTGTTGTATAATAACCCATCTCTCTCTCTCTAGATATATATATATATATATATATATATTGTATTATGCAAACTAGTTTACCGAAATATTAAATAAATTAAATTAATCAAGATTTTTACATAAAAAAGTGAAGCTCCTAAAAAAAGGAGTTCAAAAGACCATAGGCATTAATTTATAAGAGGTTGTTTGATTGATTTTTCATTAAGTTATGTATGGATAAAGTTGTTTATGTGAATTAATCTATTTGTAGAGATGGAGAAAATGTTTTTGTTTGCGGTTGTTTTTCATAAATGGAAGGAATGCATTTTTTATTCGAAATACAAGTTAAAAAAAAACTTGACTTTCAACATAAAATTTCTCTTAACAGCTTAATGATAAACAACTTTACATACCACTAAATCACTATCAAAACAGTTATGTATAGCTAACCGAATAATACTAACAAATATGCCTTAAGTAATTAAATTAGACGAAAAAAGAGGTTATGACGTTATTTATTATTATTTTTTAAATTATAAATAGAGGAAAATGGGAAATGCATAAACAATTGTTAATGGAATTTTATGGTCATTTTGCAAAATGAATGAAAAGAAAGGGGGTAAAACGTAACTTTGTAAAAGGTAGGGACTGTAATTGCAATTAAGAGAGAGTAGTAGGTCATAAAACAATAGTACTGTACAAACACTTCCCTTCCCTGTATACAGAAAACCCGTTTTCTGCGGCTGCACTTCGTCGCGAGAGGATAAGACTACCTTGACCTCCATGAAAATACCTCCATCCATCCAACGGTCTATAATACCCTAATCTACACGTGTCACATTCTCAACCGTARAGCCATTGCCGTACCCACCACCACCACAATCACACACACGTTATATAACCCCCGTTACATTTTAATCACACCAATCATGTCATACACTTCTCTCTGCACTTCTCTCTGCAACTCAAACAACTTCTATCTGAGCTTTTTAATGGCGCTTTTTTGCTAAGATCTGACGTTAAACTGTAGATCATTGAGGTGTATCGTGCTTGAATTCAAAATTTTCCGGTGATATATAGTTGTTTTTTCGCGCGGTGGTCGGAAAATGGGGTGTTCGTTTCCGGAGGAGGTGTTGGAGCATGTTTTCTCGTTCATAACCTCTCATAAAGACAGGAATGTTGTTTCATTGGTGTGTAAGTCGTGGTACGAGATCGAGAGGTGGTGCCGGAGGAGGATTTTTGTTGGAAACTGTTACGCTGTGAGTCCGAAGATCATGATCAGGAGGTTTCCTGAAGTGAGATCTGTGGAGTTGAAAGGGAAACCGCATTTTGCGGACTTCAATTTGGTTCCTGAGGGTTGGGGAGGTTATTTTTACCCTTGGATCTCTGAAATGTCTAGGGCTTACCCGTGGTTAGAGGAGATTAAGCTTAAGCGGATGGTGGTTTCAGATGAGAGCTTGGAGTTGATCTCTAAGTCTTTTAAGAACTTTAAGGTTTTGATTTTGTCTTCTTGTGAGGGATTCAGCACCGATGGACTCGCTGCCATAGCCGCCAATTGCAGGTGAAATTTCTCTCAATTTACTGATCTATATGTCAATGGAACTTTCAATTTTGAATATTCTTCTGTTTATTTTTGAAACGGAATGGTGTACGATTGAATCATAGTTACACATTGTAATCTGTTATTTGATACTACATGATAGCACATTATCGTTCTTGTTGGTTTCGTCTTCATTCTTTCTTTAGAATTAGGTTTGAAACTTATCGACATTGCTTCTGATTTGCTAACACTGCTTTAAATTTCTTGTCCGTTTTGAATTCCTAATTCGTTCGTGTTTCATTCGGTAAAAAGTGCAACCATGACAATCGATATTTGTGGGATAATTTGCTTTTTTTAGCTTCTTTTGCATCCATTGGCTTCTGTGTACTGTTGAACTGCTTGTTTGATGCTAATTATGTGTTACTTTGGAGCAATCTGAAGCTTCATATTCTTTGTGACAAGAATTATTTGAGAAATTGACATAAATAACCAATCGGCAAATAGGGATTCATCTTTAGACATTTTCTGATCCAAATTCACTCTTTAGCTATTTTCTCATCCAAATTCACTTTTTAGCCAATCCAAAAGCAGGACGCTTACGCCCAAGAAATAAGGATTGGTTTTCTACAAAAATAATATAAAATAGAAGCCGCAGAAAGTGGAAATGAATTTGGGTTAGAAAATGGCTAAAAAATGAAACCATAAACTTTGGCTATTTATGTAAATTTCCTGAATTATTTCGGTAATNTCCTCTATATATATATATATATATATATATATATATATATATATATATTGTTTCAAATGCAACTCATCACGTTTGTACAATCAATGCAACCCAATAAATTAAAATATTTATAGAAATGATGAGAGTTCATTTATTATGATTTAAATATTTATGAAAGATAAATAAGATTCATTAATTATGATCAATACTTTATATTAGAAAACAATTAAAATTTCTATGAAATTCAATTTTCATCAAATTAAATGGACGGTTGAGATTGAGTTATATTAGTTGTACAAATGTAAATGGTTGTATAATAACTCATCTCTCTCTCTCTCTCTCTCTCTATATATATATATATATATTGTATTCTGCAAACTAGTTTACCGAAATATTAAATAAATTAAATTAATCAAGATTTTTACATAAAAAAGAGTTCAAAAGACCATAGGCATTAATTTATAAGAGGTTGTTTGATTGATTTTTCATTAAGTTATGTATGGATAAAGTTGTCTATGTGAATTAATCTATTTTTAGAGATGGAGAAAATGTTTTTGTTTGCGGTGGTTTTTCATAAATGGAAGGAATGCATTTTTTATTCGAAAGACAAGTTAAAAAAAACTTGACATTCAACATAAAATTTCTCTTAACAGCTTAATGAATAAACAACTTTACATATCACTAAATCACTATCAAAACAGTTATGTATAGCTAACCGAATAATGCTAACAAATATGCCTTAAGTAATTAAATTAGACGAAAAAAGAGATTATGACGTTATTTATTATTATTTTTTAAATTATAAATAGAGGAAAATGGGAAATGCATAAACAATTGTTAATGGAATTTTATGGTCATTTTGCAAAATGAATGAAAAGAAAGGGGGTAAAACGTAACTTTGTAAAAGGTAGGGACTGTAATTGCAATTAAGAGAGAGTAGTAGGTCATAAAACAATAGTACTGTACAAACACTTCCCTTCCCTGTATACAGAAAACCCGTTTTCTGCGGCTGCACTTCGTCGCGAGAGGATAAGACTACCTTGACCTCCATGAAAATACCTCCATCCATCCAACGGTCTATAATACCCTAATCTACACGTGTCACATTCTCAACCGTARAGCCATTGCCGTACCCACCACCACCACAATCACACACACGTTATATAACCCCCGTTACATTTTAATCACACCAATCATGTCATACACTTCTCTCTGCACTTCTCTCTGCAACTCAAACAACTTCTATCTGAGCTTTTTAATGGCGCTTTTTTGCTAAGATCTGACGTTAAACTGTAGATCATTGAGGTGTATCGTGCTTGAATTCAAAATTTTCCGGTGATATATAGTTGTTTTTTCGCGCGGTGGTCGGAAAATGGGGTGTTCGTTTCCGGAGGAGGTGTTGGAGCATGTTTTCTCGTTCATAACCTCTCATAAAGACAGGAATGTTGTTTCATTGGTGTGTAAGTCGTGGTACGAGATCGAGAGGTGGTGCCGGAGGAGGATTTTTGTTGGAAACTGTTACGCTGTGAGTCCGAAGATCATGATCAGGAGGTTTCCTGAAGTGAGATCTGTGGAGTTGAAAGGGAAACCGCATTTTGCGGACTTCAATTTGGTTCCTGAGGGTTGGGGAGGTTATTTTTACCCTTGGATCTCTGAAATGTCTAGGGCTTACCCGTGGTTAGAGGAGATTAAGCTTAAGCGGATGGTGGTTTCAGATGAGAGCTTGGAGTTGATCTCTAAGTCTTTTAAGAACTTTAAGGTTTTGATTTTGTCTTCTTGTGAGGGATTCAGCACCGATGGACTCGCTGCCATAGCCGCCAATTGCAGGTGAAATTTCTCTCAATTTACTGATCTATATGTCAATGGAACTTTCAATTTTGAATATTCTTCTGTTTATTTTTGAAACGGAATGGTGTACGATTGAATCATAGTTACACATTGTAATCTGTTATTTGATACTACATGATAGCACATTATCGTTCTTGTTGGTTTCGTCTTCATTCTTTCTTTAGAATTAGGTTTGAAACTTATCGACATTGCTTCTGATTTGCTAACACTGCTTTAAATTTCTTGTCCGTTTTGAATTCCTAATTCGTTCGTGTTTCATTCGGTAAAAAGTGCAACCATGACAATCGATATTTGTGGGATAATTTGCTTTTTTTAGCTTCTTTTGCATCCATTGGCTTCTGTGTACTGTTGAACTGCTTGTTTGATGCTAATTATGTGTTACTTTGGAGCAATCTGAAGCTTCATATTCTTTGTGACAAGAATTATTTGAGAAATTGACATAAATAACCAATCGGCAAATAGGGATTCACCTTTAGACATTTTCTGATCCAAATTCACTCTTTAGCCATTTTCTCGTCCAAATTCACTTTTTAGCCAATCCAAAAGCTGGACGCTTACGCCCAAGAAATAAGGATTGGTTTTCTACAAAAATAATATAAAATAGAAGCCGCAGAAAGTGGAAATGAATTTGGGTTAGAAAATGGCTAAAAAATGAAACCATAAACTTTGGCTATTTATGTAAATTTCCTGAATTATTTCRGTAATTTACAGGATGTTTATTTGCATTTGCCTAATTATGTATGCAACTACGATTTTTATTAACACATTCTCATCCTCCTTTGAAATGTAGAAATCTGAGAGAACTGGATTTGCGGGAGAGCGAGGTGGAGGATCTTAGTGGTCATTGGTTAAGTCATTTCCCTGATTCKTATACCTCATTGGAGTCTCTTAACATGGCTTGTTTGAGTTCTGAGGTGAGTTTCTCGGCCCTCCAACGCCTGGTTGCTCGCTCACCCAACCTCAAGACTCTTCGACTCAATCAGGCTGTTCCCCTTGAGAAGCTCTCCACCCTCCTACGCCGGGCCCCACAGCTTGTTGAAATGGGTACCGGTGCTTATTCTGCAGAACTGCGGTCTGATTTATATTCAGGTTTAGCTGAGGCTTTCTCGAGATGCAAGGAGCTTAAGGGCCTTTCCGGCTTTTGGGATGTGGTTCCATCTTATCTTCCTGCTTTTTATTCAGTTTGTTCTAGGCTCACTTCCTTAAACTTAAGCTATGCGACTATCCGAAGCCCTGATGTAACCAAGATCGTCAGTCAGTGTCCTAATCTGCAGCGTCTATGGGTAAGTCTTGCATTAGTGTTCTTTTTGCATATTAAGCTGATTGTTATGCCTATATGGTGATAAAATTTTGTGAGCTCTATTTGGAGGATCTTAGTGGGTATCTTRAGTCTTTTTGATGATTATATCTAAACCAAACGAGCCCARCATATCCCACCTGGAGGTTGGGTCTGAATGGGGTAAGATATAGACTAACCTCTACCTCTCTCTAGAGTAGATGATTTGATRATTAGATCTCCTTTTCTAATTTATGTCTATGGCTCGTTGTTGATGCTTTGCCATTATAACTAATGGAAGATGTGATCATAGGTACTGGACTACATTGAGGATTCCGGGCTCAATGCTGTTTCATTGTCCTGTAAGGACTTGCGGGAATTGAGGGTTTTCCCTTCTGACCCATTTGGTGCTGATGCAAATGTATCATTAACGGAACAAGGCCTGGTTRCGGTTTCCAAGGGGTGCTCCAAGCTCCAGTCTGTTCTTTACTTCTGTCGCCAGATGTCAAATTCTGCATTGATCACGATTGCTAGGAACCGTCCTAACCTAACCTGCTTCCGGCTATGCATTCTCGAACCACGAGCTCCTGATTAYCTTACTCTCGAACCACTAGATGCTGGTTTTGGAGCCATAGTAAAGCACTGCAAAGGGCTTCAACGTCTATCGTTATCTGGGCTCCTCACAGATTGTGTGTTCGAGTACATTGGGACACGGGCTAAGAGATTAGAGATGCTTTCTATAGCGTTTGCCGGGGATAGCGACTTAGGGCTACATTATGTGTTGTCAGGGTGTGACAGCCTMCAGAAACTTGAGATTCGAGATTGCCCTTTTGGGGACAAGGCTCTGTTGGCTAACGTTTCCAAGCTGGAGACAATGCGATCCCTTTGGATGTCTTCATGCKCGGTTAGTTTGGGAGCATGTAAGCTGTTAAGCCAGAAGATGCCTCGGCTTAAYGTTGAAGTTATAGATGAAAAGGGAGACTTAGATTTGATTCCTGATAACTGTCCGGTTGAGAAACTTTACATATACCGTTCGGTTGCAGGGCCACGGTTCGACATGCCGAGCTTTATACGGATCATGGATCATGACCCTGCATATAAAGACATCCCATCCATGCACTGAACCGAACCGTCATCACAAATGTTGGAGGTATGCACTSAACAAGCTTTTTCGGTGTTCTCTGTATTCTAAATGCTAATCATTTGGGCTTATCACTAGATGTTTTATCCCAAACAAATAACCCTTTTCAGCATCTGAAATATTGATCTTYACCTTCTATTTTTGAATTATGAAAACATTTGGCATGCTTAATCATAAGATAAATGTTCTGCTTGCACACCCATTGAATTGTTAGTCTACCTGTTATATGTCATGCATCGGTATATWGCCCAGACCCAATACTATATTCTAGAATAAATTAATAGGAGGGTAGAGGTATCCAAAAAATTATTGAGTTTGTCCTTGGAGAGTCTAGCCTWGTTTCTTATCATTTTCTTGTTAATTGAAGCATMCAACTACTGTTTCTACCCTATTGCTTTTATTTTAATTTCTAYGAACCAGATTTCCTGAACAATTCAAATAAAAGCAATAGGTCAGACACAATAGTTGGATGCTTCAATTAACAAGAATTGGATAGGGAACTAKCCATTCGAGATGCTAGACTCTCCCAAAGACAAACTCAACCATTTTTCGGGTACCTCTACTCTCCCACCATGCCCCTATTTATACTTTCAATTTATTCTAGATATAGTATTGGGCCTGGGCGCTGTATATCGATGCATGGCATTATATTACCGATCTTATTGCTTGCTTACATACACCTTGCGTCTTGCACAAGTGGGGGTTTTYATGGAAATTGCCTCTCAAACTTAGCAGTTGAGGTACATCCTACCCCTCCTAGATCCTACTTTTGAGTGGGGTATATGGGTTGGGCTGGTTTCATAGAATCATGGTTGTTATTTGTGTAGAGGATGGCTTCTGAAGTGAAATCTGATGTTGGTTGCAGTTCGGATGATGAGTTGCTGTTATGCTGTCTAAGGAAGAAAAAGACTTTGAAATCTCATTTTCTTGTTTCCAATTTTATTCTTCAACCCTCTGAGATCAGATTTCAGAGTTTAGATTGTAGCAATTGGAATGCCAGATGAACAATGATGTTCTTTCCCCCTTTTAGGACCACTTTCAAAAATATTTGGTTCAATGATGGTCAATTTATGTGTGATTTACTATTCAAGATTTTTACTATTGGTTCTTGATGACTTGTAACTTGTGCATCAATGATTGTAAATTTAATCATATCTTAGACTTTTTGACAGACCCCACCAACATTTGCAGGAAAAAAAGGCTGACCCATTTCAACCAAAAGCTCTTTTATTGCTTGATGATWCCCACTCCTTTATATGAATTTTTATCATCATTCATATTCCCTCATTCATCTTTCATCATACCTGAATTCACCCATCCCCCACAATTATGATTTCCTGTTACTGTTTGGTTTAAACTCTTTTTTTTGGTAATCATGTCCATGGGTATGGGGGTATCCGCATTTGCTTATACATACCGACTAATCCTCTAAATGACCATGAATGACATAGAGTCATTGCATACATATGAATCTCCATTGCCCTAAGGGCTTTGGGGGGCGTTTGGATTTGAACGAGGGAAAGATAGATTTCGACTACATCCCTTAAGACTTAACGAGTATGACACAATCCAATCAAATCCAAACGGTTTAGTTTAAAAATCTTAACATGGGGGTAGGTTCTCCGTTTAGATCAATGATCTAATGACCCTCTACTCTTTATAGGAGCATACTATTTTGAATAAGAGGCCTGTCACATAAAAGTCATGGACTTGAAAACTTTCTTTTAGAAGTTCATGGTTCTTAAGTGAAAACTTTCTTTTAGAAGTTCATGGTTCATGGACTTAATGACCCTCTTTTAGGAGTTGATGGTTCTTAATTGAAAACTTACTTAAATCCGGAAAATCTGTAGTGGGTTTGTTTTGTTATAAGCTACAAAAAGCTGTTATTGGATTGAAATGCAAAAATGGTAGAAAATAAAGAATGGAATATATTCTCATATGATTCGGGAATATATTCTCTTGCCCTTTTAAAAGGCACCTATTGTATCTAATGGTTGCYATCAGCCCTTTGGTTTTTGACCTGCAATAAATCTGCTCATACAATTTTTTTTACTACTATACTTGTATTTTATTAAAATGACTGGAATACATAGAAAGTGAGAAAGAAAATGACTGAATTTTTTCACATTTGCACAAAATGATCACTCAGAATCGCTAAAGGAATTAGTCGATTGATGAAACAACATGTGTCACTCTCGTCGGTTCACGGTTTTGAGAAATCACCATGAGCCTACAAATTTGGTGATTTACATGGATTTTTTCATATCTTTTTTTTAAATAAAAGTGGGTACTACCTATCACGGTAATTGTAAGATCTCACATTGGTTGGGGAGTGGAAGAAAGTTATCTTTACTTCATCTCTCAGATGCGTTTTAAAATCGTGAGTTTAGGTGTGTGAAGAAAGCGGACAATTATCTAATATGACTAATTTGAGATGCTATAGTAATGTCGAATTCCTTTGACAATTTGGTTGTTTCTTTTGTGTAAATATAAAAAAAACAAGTATTCCCTAAAATGACTATAATACATTAACAAAATGAAAAAAGAAACAACCAAATTGTGATTATATCAATTACTTTAGTGTTGTATAATTTTAATCAAATTAAGTAGTATATATGAGTTATTTAAAAAACATAATAATATACAATTGATATAAGGATAAAGATATGATAGAAATACCAATAAAAGTATAAATTGATGCCTATTTTGTTGTTTTAAAAWTTTCACCCAAAATAGAAAGCCATTGAATCTTGAATCATGATTTTAGCATCAAACCAGTTAGAATAATTTCATCTATTTTACATAGAATTTCTACAAACCGTGTCGATAAATCATGTTGAACCATCTTAACGTCACGACACATAAACACGATTTGGTTAAAAATACATAAATGCAACATAAATGAGTAAAAATATGACCAAAGGGTCTTTGGCCTAGCAATATCGTAGCCCTTAGCCTCCTAGGAGGTCAGGGGGTTCAAACCTCACCATAGGTGAGAAGGGTGTGTGAGTTTATTTGTTGCATTTGTCGTCTATAAATATTATATACTTAAAAAAAATGAGTAAAAATATGATAAACGACAAGTTTTTTTGGAGTAACTGTGGATTTTTGTGTCAGCTTACATACACCGACTAATCTCTTGGATGACTACGAATAACTTGAAGTAATTGTAGATAAAGCTCCAAACAGTGTTTACCAATATTCTATATTAAAAGCTGRATCTATCAATCCAAAACTTCTTCATTATAAGATAAGAAAGTGGATAAAAATAGATGTTTAACCTATTAATTTTAAAATATTTTGAAATTGACGTTACAATTTATCACCTAAAAATAGCATTTTTAAGGCTTCACATTTGAACTTTATAAAACAAATAAGAACTAACTAATAAATTCATCTAAATACAACTATGCAAGATAAGCGTGAACCCTATAAAAATATTAATGCATAAAATACTTCATAAATTTCAAAATTTCCCTTTTAATGAAAATTTTCATTAATTTTTAATTCTTGATTTACAATAAAATACTACATCCCTCTATATTGCATCGATAGAAACTAGCATTCTATAATTAGGGTCTTTGTTAACAACATAATGAACTTAAGGAGTGTTTGAGATTGCTTATTAAAAACTACTTGTATATTTTTTTTTTGTAAAAATACTTATCAACTTATGTGGTATCAAATCAGAGTTCTATAAAAAGTGTTTTGATAAGCTTATGACAGTACCAAAATATAATAAGCTGATAAATATTCTTTTTTTCTTCATTCAAACGCTAAAAATTTCTTATTATCGATACACACCATAATAAGTTAGAAGAGAGTAAATTATCAAAAACTCATTATTACCAGTGCCAAATTAGTATAAGTATTTTTTTTCTATCCAAACACTAAAAACTCATTATTACCAGTGCCAAATTAGTATAAGTATTTTTTTTTTTCTATCCAAACACTAAAAACTCATTATTACCAGTGTCAAATTAGTATAATTTTTTTTTTCTATCCAAACACTAAAAACTCATTATTACTGTTACCACACGAAAATAAGTTAATAAGCACTTTAAATAAGTAAACCCAAACACCCTTTTTAGTGAGACTCACAACTTAATTGTCATATATATATATATATATATATATATATTACTGTTTAGTAGTGACTTAATAATATAGAAAATGACTTATTCGCTAAGCTTATACGGTGTAAGAGCTTTATTCAGAAAACCAAGTTTTTTTTATTAAATCGTCCATCCCTAGTAAAATAACATGCTTCTTCAGTTCTTTCGTCTATAAAAAATATCCTCTCAAACAACTTTTTTCCGATCTATAGAGRCAGATTAATATACACATGTAACTTTATTCATACATGACTTAATAAAAAACCAACCATGCAGTATCTTGCTTCGAGTGAGAAACACAATTTTGGGTACGTTCAGGAAAAAAAAAACTGAAGTAAAAGGGCTATAATATAAAAGACTCAAAAGTTTAGGGGCTTGAATGACATTACCCAACATTTCTTACGTGTCATTCAATCTAATCAAAATACAAGAAAATCTTCTTGTCCTTTCTTCTCTCTCTCCTCTGCGGCTAACTACCGTCGTCGGAGCTCGTTAATGGTGTTTTCGACTGGACGTACTAAACAGCATGCACATGCTGACGCTTTCTGCCGACGGTGGACTACTTCCTGCCKGACAGACTGTTGGAGTACGATTTCTCGTTCATAAGTTCTGACCATGACATATCGTGACTGGATGATGTTCACATCGTGGTACGATATCAAGAGGTGGTGGCGGAGGAGTATTTTCGTAATATTTACTGTTTTCGAAGTTGAGATCTGGTGAGTTGTGAGGGAATCTTCATATTACGGACTTCAATTTGGTGCTAAAGGTTTGGGAATTAACCCTTGGATCGCCGAAATGGCTAGGGTTTACCGTGATTAGAGGAGATCTGGCTAGTCCTGCTCCTGTGTTCCTCTGAGGGTTTCAGACTTTCAGTAATGACGAATGTCCTGCTACTTCTGTTAATTGCAGATGAAAAGCATCAATTCATCCATTCCATGTGAAAGTTTTTACACRTCGAGTAATGTTTCTTCTGATTTTCTTCATCTTATTTCAAATTTGCTTAGTACAATTGGAAGAAWATTGGAATCATGTGAACAAATACTGACAAATTGAACAACATGAAAGTGATTTTGGTAAAGGAAAGTTTAACTTCAGTTGTTATTAGGCTATGTTCTTCTGTTMATTTCACCTTGCTTACTAAATTCATATGGAATTTGTTACCAATTTTCATCATAGATTTTCAATCATACATATGATCCCTGGCTATAAATTGAGGTGCTCTACGTATGTTTTTTCGTTAAGCGGTATGTTTGAATTAAGCTATCTTAAACAAGGGATATATAGTTACCTAATATTCCATAAGGTCAAAAGCCACTACAGCTTTTGGACTTGCAGTATAAGAGCATCTCTCATAGAGATTCTTCTTTTTATACTTTTGTTTTACTCACACTATTTTCACCTCATCCAATTAAGAATCGATATAGAACTTCACAAACATAGTTCTTAAGAACCCATTTTGTTATGGGTTCTATATATCTTTTAAACATCACAAAGGTCCTTTGGCTTAGCGGTACCGAACCTTTGACCTTCTAGGCACTAGAGGAGATCAAGTGTTCAAACCTCACTAAAAGAAAGATGTCTAAGTTTATTTGTTGCATTGATTGTATATAAATATTTTATACTTGATATAAGATTGTTTATAAGAACCTTGCATAAGATGCAATCAGAAATTGACAAGGTACATGTAATCAATTTCAGTTAAAGGGCTTATGTTGGTTGATGATGACCACTCTTGAGTCTTGAATGATGATGATTCATATTGTGTTGCATTAATTATTCATCCTGTAGCTACTCATGATTCCCATCTTAAATTTCACTTATTCCACCACCACTGCACTGACATTTTCTACTTATGATATCCACATTCCAATTTTTGGTTACCAAATAGATGATAAGATGATGAGAGTAGAGAGAAGTGATGTAAATGGGCCCAATGCATTCTGCATCTCTTCATCCCATTCCCAACTCCCAAGGTTAAGTAATGGTGTTGTTTTCTTCAATCTTCCCTTCATTTCTCACATATAATAGCAAATGGTTTGTTAGACAAGGTGAGGTTGGAAGTTGGTTTTAAATTAAACCAAATAGATTCACATGAGCTTACCAATGGAAAGATAAAAGTTGAATGTAAGAAGACAAGTTTGATTGTGGGAGAGCTGATTAACAACCCCATTTTATTACGAAAAGTCTAAATTACATAGATAATCGTTTGTCATACCTTTTTTTTTTTTTTTTTTTTTGGAAGTGAATGATGATCTTAGAGGGAAAAAAAATGTCATTGATAGAAATCTACACATGTGAAACCTTCTTACAACGAATGATACATTGATCGACTAATACAAAATGAATGGTTGTGATAAGTTCACAAAGTTAATACCATAAATTGGATTAACAAAAGAACTTATATATATATATATATATATATATATATATATAGCACTATTCTCTCTCTCTCTCTCTCTTAGTTAATTGGACTTTCTCTCCGTAGATTTGTCTTTCTTGCACAAAATTTGTCTTGTAAATTAAGAGATTGATCTAAGGTATATGTTTATGTTTTATCATCAAATTACTTGGTTTTGTGTCAACCTTTTTACACTTATTTATTGTTTTTTCGATAGAAAGTAACACAATTAGAAGAAAAAAAACAAAGAATGTAATATCTAATCACAATATGAAGATAGATAAACATATTGAGTAATATGAAAACTTATCACCAAGGTATATATACACTACTACATGCAACTTTTTTYTATATAGTTTTTCGATCTTAGTAAAATCTTGATTTTATCTGTTTTGCAATTTGATAATTTATTGCTACCTTAATTCTCATTTCTATGCATTTTTTCACATGAATTATCCAAAAACACTAAAAGATTTGGGTATTTATACAAATACTCTAATATRTCAKTCTTACTCACAAAATGGGTAGTAAAAATCTACGGTTTTAGTTTTGCTTCTTGATTTATTATCATTTATGTGGTCACTATTTCAAATAGATGATTTCTTTTTTCAAAAATCTTCACTATGATACATGCTATATGTTCATGGATTTACAGGAAATCTTTGTATATTAAGTATTACATGTAARTTTTCAAGATATATGAATGTGTGTGATATATGTTAATTGATTGGACATAATATAAATTAGTAWGGGATCTGTTATACAAAAGGTTGCTATAAATCCTTTGACGAACAAATCAAATATAAATGTCTACACTGAAATACATACGTATCTAACATAGAAAGTTGATATACAGTGAGTCATTAGGTGGTTGGTTTAAGAGTTGAGTGCTTGTAAAGAGTTCAATCTCTAAAGAAATTGTAACTCTTGTTTGCAGCYGCCAAACTCAAGCCTCTATTTGTTTCACAATTTAAAGTAGAAATTACTTTTGAAAATGGACTATTATTTTGTGACAAATGAACCAGTAAATCAAGTAATTATTTTGGGATAAATTTGTATTTATGACTCATTTTTGTCCCAAATTAATGTCTACAATGAAAAAGACACAAATTTATGAATGTATAATTATTACAATTTTTAATTAATAAAAGAACAATTTTACCTTTAACTATAAAATGATAAAAAAAAWTCATCTCATAATTAATGATAGAATGATAAAGTAGACATTTACTTTTGAAAGTGGACATTTATTTTTGACCGAATGTAGTATTTATTAGTCAYTTTATCCTAAAATAAATATCTACAATGAAAATGAGATACAACTTTAATATATATATATATATATACACACACACACACATGGAGTTTCAAATACAAACTAACAGAGATATTAATGAAAGTGATTATGTTAATTTATTATTATCTGAATATTTATGGAAGATGAATAAGATTCGTTAATTTACGGTCTAACGCTTAATATAAGAAAACAATACACATATTTACAAGACCAAATATTCATTAGACTAAATAGACGATTGAGATTTATTTGTATWTTATCTGGTTTTTGTCCATAGTCTTCTAATTTCTAAGCTACTTTAGCAAATTAACTAATAAGTTAGATGTTACTTGAGAAGTTATAGCTAAATGTTGGCTAATAAATTGTTTTTTGCAAAAGTTAAACTCATAAGCCAACTGTTAAATGTWAAATAATCCAAAATGACATGTTTTAATTTTAATTGGAGAAATGAAAGAAATATAATTCGAAAGAATGAAACAAAAAAACCCCTTAAATTTATTGAAATGTTATTTAAAGCAATTTAAAAAAAAAAACTAGCATATAAGCTGACTTATGGCTAACCAAACAGAACTTTTTCAATAAGCTCAAAAAATAATTGCCAATCATRGCTTTGCCAGTAGTTATATATTTTGACAAAATGATTTATTTGCAGGTTTTTCGTGGTGGTAAATAGCATGGCATGTTGTCATTCATTTGCATATCGATACTTTTGATGTACAAAAAAAATCCAAATCTGATTRCTACTGATGGTCATGATCTCCGACCTTGTGATGGTGGCACTACTGTTCTCCGCCAACAGAGCCGCCTCAGCAGTAGGCATAATCGGGATCAATGGAAACTCTCATACACAATGGCAAAAAGTGTGGTATATTTTCAAGAGGTATTGCCACCAGGGTGCAGCCTCCATATCCATAGCCATGTCCTTCCTTGAACCATTTGCATTTTTATGGCTTGTGGTTTTTGCAACTATAAACCTCCATAAAAAATGTAGTTAATTTGTAAAAAAAAAAAAAAAAACTTTATTTATTTCATCATATTCTTTTTCTATTTTAATTTTCTTAATTTTAATGTTTTGGGACCTCATGTTTAATCTACTCCAATTTATTTGATAATTTGTTTTAAAAAACACAAACCCGATGTTTTGATGAATTTTCAAGCCTTTTTAATATTGGTCTGGGTTTA